CAAAAAATTCAAATCCCCAGCCGATTGGAACTATTATAATACATTGAGAAATTTCACAAAACAATCAATAATACGTGAGAAAAAAGCATACCTCGACTATGTGTCACATCAAAACAATCCAAAGAAATTTCTGATATGTACTGCTCTTTGTGGAATCAAATGTGCCAAGAACACTTCCCGTGAAAGTAGAAGATAGAAAATTCTCCTACCTCTCTTTGTTCGTGTCTTCAATCAGGCGGATGGATTTTTTTTTAATAAAATCCAGCAACTTCAGTGTATGTTTAAGGGCGGAGCTTCAAACATGAGAACAATACTCCAAAGAAGGTCTGGAAGATTCGTAAGCAACAGCTCTACCATATGGTGACAAAACTGTGATTATGGGTGATTTCAATATAGATCTCTTAAAAAAAAATACCGTAAAAGTCAAGCACTTTAACAACTTTGTTGAATCGTTTGACCTTTCTCAATTGATTAATGAGCCCACCCATATAAGAACAAACTCTCAGACCCTAATAGATGTAATACTCGTATCTGATGTATAGTCGTTAACCAATGTATCCGTATATCATGTTGAAGGGGTGTCTGATAATGCTCGTTCAGCAACTATATGTTGTGTACGGAATAACTTGAAAAAAAACTCCGCTAAGTGTATTGAATACAGATATTTCTTCAATTTCAATATGAATACCCTCACAACTTTCTTGCACTCAGTTGATTGAAAAATTATTTACGGATACAATGAAGTTGATGAAATGGTGAATTTTCTCAATAACTCACTGTTGAGTATTTTTTACCAATGTGCTCCAGTACGAACTATTCGCGTAACTAAACAACCCGCGCCTTGGCGGACTGATGTTATTAAGATCATGATGAAAGAAAGGGTCCAAGCATATAGCAGCCGATTGGAACCATTATAAGACATTCACAAAACAATAAATGATACGTGAGAGAAAAGGATACCTCGACTATTTGTCACATCAAAACAATCCAAAGACCCTGTGGAAGGCCCTGCGGCAATTGACTACTTATCAAAAACTTGACATAACATTACTAGATGATTTGATAGATGTCAATGCAATAAATAAACACTTCACAAATATTCCCAACATTGTTAAAACCAAAGGTCAGACAGACTTACTCGATAAATATAAGCAAGATTTACATAATCAGAAAGGCACTTTTGTGTTTAGTACCGTGGAAAACGATGAAGTGCTTGAATGCATAAACTCAATAAAAAGTAACGCAGTGGGCTCCGATTTAATGATATTGAAAATGCTCAATTTGGTCTCTAATTTTCTAATCGAGTATATAACATACATATACAATTATTGCATAAATAACTCAACGTTCCCTACGGCTTGGAAATTGCCACTTGTGATCCCCTTACCAAAAATAACGATTCCTACCAATATCAACCATTTAAGACCAATCAGTCTTCTGCCAGTTCTAGATGAAGCGTTTGAAAAAATGTTATACAATCAAATAAATGAATACGCAATGAAACATAATATTATACCACCGATTCAGTCTGGCTTCAGGGGAGGATTTAGCACCACCACAGCTCTAACAAATATTTTCGATGATATTTTTAGGGCAACTGATGAAGGAAAGGTTACTTTTTTGATCCTGTTGGATTACAGCAAAGCATTTGATACCCTGGATCATGAGGTTTTCATTAGTAAATTAAAATTCTTTGGATTCCACCCTGATTCAGTGAAACTATTGGAATGTTACCTGCAGGGAAGAACACAGAGAGTGGTTCATGACCTATACTCAGAGATCCTGGCTTTAAGCCATGGCGTTCCGCAAGGATCAATATTGGGCCCACTGTTATTTTCTTTGTACATCTCAGATTTTCATTCATTCGTCAAATTCTGTCGCATACACCATTACACGAATAATACGCAGCTATACTCATCTTTCAATGAAGTGAAACCCGATGTTACCGCTGCTTTAAATTTGGATCTGGATTCTTTGATAAATGTATTGCACATAATCTGAAGTTGAACGGAGTAAGTCCAGTGCATTGTTTTTCGGACCGAAGCTCAAACGTAATCTAGCCAGTACCTCAATCAACATCATTTTGGGTGGGGAAAAATTCCCATAAAAAATGAAACAAAAAATCTCGGACTCTGGTTAGACAATGAATTGAGGTTCACCAAACATGTCAATCAACTTTGCCGAGGTTCATATAATACACTCAAACAACTTTATCCAAGTAGACAATTCATGAGTTCCTCTCTGAAAATTCGTGTATGTGAATTCCTCATATTATCGAAACTGGCTTACTGTGACTACATTTATGGACCCGCTCTTCTGAGTGTTGAGAGTAGTCGACTTCGAAATATACAGAACTTTTGTATTAGACTTTCCTTCGGAATACGCAAATATTAGCACATAAGTCATAAATATGACTCATGAAGTACTGAAATATAGAACACCAACATATCTATATGACAAACTAATTAAAATAGGGAATCTGAGTGATTATAACACTCGTAACTCGGGGTTACTGGGTTATGGGATATGTACAAACATAAAACCTCCATTTTTCAGCGATCTTTCACGTACAACGCCTGAAAGTTCTATAATCAACTTCCGCATGATTACAGTACATACACCTGATGAACTTCAAAAAAAGTTGAAATCCCTATTATCAGCTCAATATGATTAACAAATGTCGAACTCTGCATCTACAGAACGCATAATGATCAGTCAATCACTTTATGAATTTAAGGTACTCATTAATTTGACAGATCTCAGACAGCAAAATTATTCTACAATGTAATAGAATTATACTCATCGTAGATATTATAGCTAAGATAATTAAGAAAATTGTAAATTAATATTGTATTTCCATGGTTAAGTTGAAAAACACCCACGGGTGACACTTCGCCACTTTATGTTTGTCGAATACCTATCATTGTTATCTCTTTTTGCTGCTTTTGCCAAGGCTGTTTTTGAGAAGCAGCCTTGGCAATTCCAGCGACATGATTGTGCCACAACATATTTGTGTCCATTTCAACCCCCAAAAATTTATCTTAGCAGATTTCTGACACTATCTTTTTGGAGAAAACATTGCATTTTTTGGGAATAAGCTGAAAGCGAGCAATCTTTCAACAAGAAGAAAAAAGCCTTTCGTTGTGAGATAGGATGGAAAGTCTTGAAAATACTGGTGCGAATTCATTCGTACAATTTTAAGTACAATAACGCGCTCTTCATCAGGTCTAGGCGCCTTGTTGATATTGAGCTGTTTCAAAATTCACCTAACTAGACGTGTCACAAATCAATGAAAACGATGGCAAAATTGCATTGAGTGGGATTGCTTCTGCATCCACCGTATGCTCAAGATCTGCCCCCTAGCGATTTTTCCTGTTCTCAACCCTCAAGAGAATTCTCGCCGAACCCCATAGGGCTGATATATCACTCTTGTAAAAAAATTAATGAAAATTGATTGATTTGAAATCCCTGAAAATAATCTATAGAAAGATGGCGACTAGGCGTCAACAATCTCTAAAATGGTCAATTCTCGTCCATTGAAAGAAAAAATTGAAGCGATTTTTATTTACGGTGCGACGCGTAACTTTCACGAAACCGAAAGGATTTTCAATGAACATTTTCCGAATCGTCCTTTCTGTAGAAAATATTTGAGGGAACTTGTATCCATAACAAAAAGCCCTCAGGTGATCCGTCCATTCCGGAAGAACAGCAAGTGCAAATAAAATTGGTGAAATGATAGTGAATCCTTGAACAGTCTACTTATTCCGTCGCGAATGTTTGTGAGGTGTCTCCTTCTACTGTATGTATACTTTTGAAGAGAAATAGATATCATCCATACAAAATTGAAATGGTACACCAATTAACTGAAGATGACCCTGATCGAAGAACAGAATTCTGCGAACTCATGACGGAAACCATTGCAAGGCATCCTACCTATCTCCAAAATATTTGTTTTAGTGACGAATGTACAATTTTGTTAAACGGCTATGTTCACAAACAAAATTGACGGTATTGGAATGACAGCATCCTACACGTTTTCCGGGAAACACATACCCAATATCCGGAAAAAATTAACGTTTGGACAGGAATATTGGGAAACCATATTGTAGAACCTCTATTTATTGATCAAAATTTAATAGGGGAACCGTATTTGAATATGCTGGAAACTACTGGTAACCCTCTCATCAGTAAAATCGTCGAAGCAAATCCTAATAAATGCGATATGGATATTGTATTTCAACAAAATGGAGCACCACCACATTACTCCAGAAAAATAGAAAACTATTTGTATACTACTTTTTCCGGTCGTTGGATTGGACGTCGAGGTCCTACAGAATGGCCAGCCCGCTCGCCAGATTTGACACATTCAGACTTTTTTGTAGGGCTATTTGAAGCAAAAGGTGTACGAAATTGAACCTGCTTCAGAATTGGATACAAGACAGAGAATAATAAATATTTGTAGAGATATTGACATTACTGTGTTCGAAAATGTTCGGCGTGAAATATCGAATGGACTGTTCATATGTCAAAGTCAAAAAGTTCAAGGCAACCATTTCGTGCATCTTCCGAACTTACCTCAAGCTTATAACCTCATATTTATATAGTTGTCAATGTATTCAGGCAATTGTTAAAAGTTCTGCCATCTTGTAGTAGTTAAAAATATTGACATTATATTCTAAGGTTATGGAGCATTTGTCAGGAGCTTCGAAAAGATGTGTCACAAGACCCCCCTTTCCATTTTATTTTTTTTTCCAGATGGCGCCCAGTCGCCATCTTGAAAGTTTCATCTGTCAATTTCACTTCAAAATAAAGTATTCATGCATTAATTTCATTATCCCAAATTTCAATTTTTTGAGTTGACCCGCTCAAAAAATAAAAGGGGGCAATAATGAAATACACTGTATATGTTTCACCCCATATTCCAAGGAATGAAAAGTTTCACATGCAAAGAGAGTGTTTATTCAAATGTTGTGTTTATTCAAATATTGTGTACTTTGCAGATTCAAATCCCGAGCAAACTTCAAAGCGCCCATCACGTTCAACTGGGACTGCACCTTGATGCAATCCAACATGTACAGCTTCATCGTCTTCATCATCTTCTGGATGCCATTCGGAGTAGTGCTAGCGGTGGGAACGGTCAGAAAAATACCGGACAGCCTCTTCTACAATCTGGCCTGGCTGGCCATCAGCAAGTCGTGTATCAACAATATCCTCTACTGCATATCGAACCCTCACTTTCGCAGTGCCTATATAAACCTCTTTCATTACTGCTGTTGCAAAACGACGGTGTCTTTTTCTAGGAGACAAAGACCGGAAGGTCTCCGACCTTCGGGAGATGTCAGGGTCCATATTATTCCAGGGTATAACATGTATTGTAGCCCCCAAAGGGGAAGGGAGACGCAAAGCAAAAGACTGTCGTCCCGAACCAACGGTAGGGATGTTTATGAATTATGATGAGACGATTCTTGCTCTTCTACCAGAGGAGTATGGATTTAAAAAATCTGTACTTTTGATTTCTTTCGGCATGGCTGATTTCGCCTGATGAAAATATTCAAATTGACCGATCGATATACATCGGATACGTGATGATTTATTTCTGAATAAGTTTACAACGTTTGAGTCGAAGCGATGAACTATCATTGAATACATGGCTACATTCTTTAATTTTAAAAAATTGACGAAAGGATTCGATCCGCAGATCTGGCATATCTTTTACCTTACAGAAAATAAGATTAATTTTTTGTTTTTGCACTACAAATTTCTAGGAGGAAATTTGCCCTTGAATTCATTGCAATATTGAATGTATATTTTCTGATATGGAACGATATTTTATAAATTTTAAAATATTTCAAACATTCCAAATGAATTTCAAACTCTCTAATATTATTTTGTCAAGAAAATATGTGAAAATTCGTGATTGCTACTTGAAATAATGATATTGATAATAATAATTAAATTTAAAAATATTTAAAACATTCCAAATGAATTTCAAACTCTCTGATATTATTTTGTCAAGAAAATATGTGAAAATTCGTGATTGCTACTTGAAATAATGATATTGATAATAATAATTAAGTTTATTCATCCTGCCAATTTACATGAATTATATAAGATTTATCTATGAATGAACAGAAGCTCTAAACGTGCTTGTTAGGGATAAAATAACACTGAAAAAGAAAATATATACATAATGAAAGACGAAGAAGACAAAGACAAGAACACAAAGACATTAAAGAAATATAAACTTATACCTATTACCTATAATTTAATGACAATATCGATAAAATTACATTGGAGAAATATAAACTTATACCTATTACCTATAATTTAATGTTGTAATTCATTGGGTTACATAGTAGCGAATAGTGAATGAGAGGAGAGATCTAAGAGTATAAAACGTATTCATCATTCGAGTCGACCAACAATGACTTCACGAAATTTTTTCCGGGGTTCTTTATGTATAAAAGATTTCAGTTCTTTTTTGAATCGATGTGGATTCATAATCAATTTGATTTCATGTGTATAATTTTGGAGCAAGGTATTTATGAGCGTTGGGATATTAGTTTTTGCATTTGTGGTGTGATATGTTGATTTCGTTGACGAGTATCTTATTCATTTGTAGGTAATTCAAATTTTTGTTTTTGGTGGTAATACATATTTATTTTCAGGAAAAAGAGTTGGTAGACATCAAATATATGATATTCCGCATAGAGAGTATCAGATGGAAAAGTGGGTTCTTTTTTTGAGATAATTTTCAAAAACCGTCTTTTGAGGACCTCTATAGGATATAAAGGTGTTTTCAGGGCACCACCTAATACTAATAAGCCGTATCGAAGATGGCATGATACAGTGTTTTTACTTGCTTCAGTGGTAGTGAGTATGCCAATACTTTAAACTCGTGGAGAATGAATCTCAGCTTTTGGCATAGAGATTGAATATGAATGTTCCACTTGAGATGCGTATCTATGTGTACTCCCAAATATTTTGAAGATGTTGCTGATTTGATAACGAACTATTCTGTTGGAATATTAACTTGAATTTTATCGAAGTTAGGGGAAGTTGTCCTATTGCAGCAAAATGGTAGGGAGTGTGTCTCATCAACATTAATTGTGAGTAATTTATGACTCAGCCATTTCCAGATAATATGGAAGTCCGATGCAACTATGTCCCTAAGTTCATCCCACGAATTACCTTTGTAAAAAATGGCTGTATCATCAGCGAAACCTAGTATATCTCCCCTAGACTTCAGCAAAAACATTCCGTTCACTTAAATATTAAAGAGAAGTGGCACCAAAATTGTTCCCTGAGGTACTCCATACTGAATAGTCCTGAGATTGCTGCAGTTGTCGTCTATCTCCATGAATTAGTGTCTGTGTTGGAGATAGGATTTGAATAATTTCAAAGTATTACTTCTGACTCCAATATCTTGTAGGGTTTCAAGCAGTAATTGATGACTCACCGTATCGAAGGCCTTGGAAAGATGCACGAAAACACATAGGTATGGTTCACTTTCCTCCATGGACTCAGATACCTTTTGAATTGATTTCAATATAGCATCTTCAGTTGATTTTTGTTTTCTGAATCCGAACTGTTTTTCGGAAAGTAGATTATATTTCGCAATGTATGAACTGAGACGTTTTTCAAGAATCTTCTCGAAAACCTTCGTCAAGGGAGTTATTGAAGTTATTGGTCGGTAGTTTGACACATTATTTTTGTCCCTTTTTTCATAGATGAGCATCACTACACTTGTGGCCAAATTCCAACTCTCATGCATTCATCGATTATATTGGTGAGTGGTTCAATGATATATTCAGAAATACATTTTAAGGTTTCAGCTCGTATGCCATCTACCCTAGGAGACTTGTTTACTTTGAGCTCATTAATGACACTTTTCATTTCAGATGCATCCGTCGGTGCTAGGAAGAACGAGTTCAAAGTAGACGTTCTTTGGGCAACATAGTGTGGATCGTGCCTTATTTTATTTGCTAATGTCAAACCAGTTGTTATGAAAAATGCATTGAATTCGTTGGTTATAGTTGTTTTATTAGTTAACAAGTTTCCACTAGAATCGATGATAGAGTCGGCTCATTCCTTAAATGAGTTCATGATAGGTCATCCTTCCAAGACACTATTTCCCTAATAATACTTGTATATGGAAAAATCAATATTTCGGGAACTAGTACAGCTATGGATGTTGTGAAGAAGAAAATAATACAGTGTAGGTATACAGTTCTTCTTTCAACCATGAAGTCTATACACCTGAAGCTTGGATGGATGGATGAAGATGATGGATGAAGATGATTGATTCTAAGGAGGCATGATGGGATGCCGAAGGTTCTTCTTTGTTCTGGGGAACATTTAAATCCGTTTCTGATGGCATGCCTCCCTGTCTTTCAAACAGCGACACGTCTCCAATATGCTTGTCAAGTAGTTTTTCTGATGTTTTAAAGTGAGTATTACGAAACTGGTTGGTGTCGAAACCTTCGTCCAACTCTGTTGGAATTTCCTAGGTTTTTGAAATGAATTAAGGTCACCTCTAGGTCACCTAAATTGATTTAGTTACGCTTTTTGCATCTGGTCCCAACGATCCTCTTCAAATATTCTACTTTCTTCGCCGACTGTTACCTCCTAAATGTCTTTGGTGGACAACAATTTTGTTTCGATTTCAATATTGGTCTTCAGTCCTGAATACTTTTAGTTGAAGTAGTTGGTTTATTTATGATCACCCTTATTGAAACTTTTGATAATACCCTAATAATTAAAATGATTCTGAAACATTGTTATAGAATCGTAAATTTTTTATTAACACTGTTGCAAATTTCGATATTCTGGAAAAAAGCACTTCTTATAGGGATAGTTTTGGATTTTGTAAATTTTCCACTTTTTTTCAATACTATTTTTTCAAATGATATCTTTTTTGTTGATATTGAAAATCATATTTTCAATGAATTCAAGTGTGAACATTTCACCAGAACTTGACCTGTACCAATTCGATAATTATATATTGATTGCATATTTTCTAAAAGGTGAAAGATATGATAATTTTCATTTATCCGGCTCAATATCACAATAAAATATCCTTCATCAGGCGATGTGTATTTGTATTTTACAACAATTCGAACCTTAAAATTGATATTTGAATCACACTGACGAACAATTTTCAATTGAAGGTTGAAGAAACAACATAAAAGGGACCAGTAGTGAAAAACCATTCATAAAGCTTGATTGGATTATTTCGTTCCAACAGCTCCCCTTTAAGAATATAGTTAGGGAGCTAACTAATTTCGTTATTTGATAATCATTTGTGATTATATAAGAATCACAATAACTATGTAATATATATTCATNCTGAGTTCATTCATGTGTCCAGAACTGTGAAATAGAATGTTAAACTTGAGTTCAGCATCTTGAATTGGTTCACTTTTTACTTTGCTCAATTACCAATGTCTTCTACAATTGTTTTAGCATCTACCAACATTTCCTCAGAACATTCATCATTCGCCTCAAGGAATTATTCTGTTTCACAAGGCTGCTTTGTGACAGAAGATGAATTAAATTATCTCGCCTAGATTTGCTTGGATTAACTCAATACCAAGGAAGATATCACAAACAGGAATATCCTGACTTGCTTGGGAAGCCCTGTAGCTTCAATTGTTGAAACATTGCAAACACTCTCTTATAAGGTGGTATTCTCAATAATACCCATGGATAAATTATATATCTCATTCAGCTGATAGGTTGAAGATGTGCTGGAGTAGTATTAGCCAATGACAAGTTGAATCAGGGAAAAACACAAACATAATCTACAGTGTAAAAATAGCCGTTGTAGCGAATCAACTAAACAATAACTAAATTCGATGAGTGACAGCAACATGGTACACAAAAACTTTGACAATTCGTATCTAAATTGAGTCGTTAGAGACTTGAGCTTTTTTGACTGTAGTCAAACCAGCTCCGGTGTGTGCAAAAAATGTTCTTTCTACCCCAAAAAGAGTTCTTTAATGTTGTTGTTCTCATCTTTTGAGACGAAACGAACAATGATTGCGTTGAAGCACGGGCACAGGTAGAGGGTGGGTGAGTTGATTTACTCTCAGGTGCCCCTAGATTAAAGCGCCCTAGGCGGTCGCTAAGTTCGGTTATGATATCATATAGTCCAGTTGAATTGAGTATTCTAAATAAAAGGTGTAAATGACATTATATTTTATATAATTCTTTTTGAACCGAATTTTACGAAGAACACTCCAGAAAAAATAATAGGATCTGAAAACATTATTATTGAAAAAACCAATGGATCAGATGTGATGGAAATTGAAAATGATGATCACCAAAACAGAAAATAATCCGACTAATGTTTTAACCAACGAACTTGACGTATAAAAATTTTATTCAACTTTCAACTTGCCATATTTAGTCCGCAAAGCATTCAGTAGTCTGTTGTGAAGTGGCACTTTGACAAAATCGCACACAATATTGAACTCAATAATAATAATACTTGAATTCATCGGCTGCAACTTATGTTAACTTTGAATATACGGTAAAGAAAATAACTTTTATCTGATTTTTACTAAGTTTTTCATTTAATCCATTCTCAAGTAAACTTATTTTTATAATGTTCTTACTCTGATTACATTATGCAAAGATATACTAGTTAGATAATATTCTGCCATGACATATTTATAATCTACCGTATTTACCATCCAAAGAACACCAAATGATTTGCATTTCGTAGATAGAACAGTAAAAAAGATCAACAATTAGTAAAAAAAACTGTTATATAATATAGAAATCCTAATCAATGAGTATACACCAGTACAAG